AACAACAACAAACAAACAACACAAAACAAACAAACAACAACAAAAAACAATAAAAAACCAGACTGCATTGACTTCTCTGGACAACAGAATAAATTAGGACGTTTTCTCTGTGGTGAACTCGTAGCCTTAAGGTAGCAATCCATATGTGCGGGACGGCAGCGGCAGCGGCAGCGGGACGATATGTGCGGTGCCGCAAGTCACATTAAATCCATATGTGCGGCAGCGGAACTGCAGCGGGACGAAATGTGCGATATGTGGCAAATTCAATAGGGGAAGGCATGTTGGCGCCTTTTTAATTTTTATTGACTAATTATTATCCGTATTTTCTATGTTCTTGCATTGATTCCATTAATTTAACTGCTTGCTTTATTATCTCTATGTAGAGGTATTTAATTGTTATTTCAATCAATTTAATTAAATAAATCCAATTGTCGGGTAAATTCGCCACGACCGACGGGTAACTTCGCCAGTATTGTAACGTTGCAAGTATCTTGATCTTTTGTCACTAGCATAACGAACAGGTCCGTCCATTCCTTTGCCATTCAGGACAGCCCAGAAGGCACCATTTGGCCATATCAAGAAAATGGGTGGATGAACGACGACATAGGGGTGCAATGGTTTCAGCAAGTTTTCCATGTCAAATGAATTGACAGCATCACACAAAGATTCTTCAGTCAACCCTATTCCGCCACATTCATATATTTTTGTCAGCGGCAGAGCTGCGGCAGCGGCAGAATCGCTCCTGGGTGCGATTTTTATCGTACCGCTGCCGTCCCGCTGCCGTGCCGCTACCGTGCCGCTGCCGCTGCCGTCCCGCACATATGGATTGTCACCTTTAGAGAATTGTGACTGGCGTCTGTGGTGCAACATTTACGTGTATACTCTGGGATGTAGAAAACCTGATTATGATTTTAAAATAGGCAAGTTATTTCGTCTACTGCGACGCTGGGTCTTTCTTTGTAAAAACTTAGCACGGGCAGTCGCTCTGGGGGGGGGTGAGAGGCAGTCTTCTTTTAGAAAGATGCAAATTGTACTGAATATGGTGCAAAACATAATACACATTGATCTGTCAGACAGTCTGAGTCAGTCTTGATTTTTACAAGTACGCACTATGGACAACCTGTATTCCCATTCCGACTAAATCATGGGGCTCCAGCTGACCAAAAAAGCATAATGCACTGCTTTTGTATGACGATGGTACGAACATTTTTTTTTCTGAAATGTTTCCATTTTTACCGAGCATCGCTCTCCGGAAAACATTCCTGGAAAAAATATTCCAATGCGTATAATTGTTATGAGACCCCTCATTGACTAGGGACACCGTCCGTTTGTCATTGCTATGCCTGGGCACGTCTCCTGTATTTCCGTTATCCCCTAACCACCCTGGCTTCAACAATTGGACTAGGAATTCTTCATCTGGCAGAATAATATTATCATGTTTTTGAGGTCATTTTTTTCTCTTTTTCTCCTTCTCTCGATCTCTCTTGCTTGCTCTAGCTATTTTGCTCTCTCTCTCTCTCTCTCTCTCTCTCTCTCTCTCTCTCTCTCTCTCTCCCACACACACATTCAGACATATGTACGACGCATGCAGACACAAAGATACACACACACACACACACACACACATATGCACACATATACACACACACACACACATTCACACGAGCGCACACACACACTCTCTCGTTCTCTTCTTTTCTCTTTCTCTCTCTCTCTCTCTCTCTCTCTCACACACACACACTCACACACACACACACACACACACACACACACACACACACACACACACACACACACACTCAAACACTCACTCTCTCTCCATTTAACATTTAACCCCATCCAAACAGGACTAGTACTTTGAAGTACTCGTTGAGCACTGTTGTTTAAAAAAACCAACCCAAAACAACAACAACAACTACAAAAGTATACGTAAAAGAAAAACAAACCCAAAGACAACACATACCTCACTTTCTTATACTTAATCCATTTTCTTTCGATTTTGACGTATATCACCCAGAAAACAACAGATTCCTTTTCACGATGTCGGAGTTTGTACAAGAAAAAAAAGTGAAAATCTGCAGAACACGCGCATCAGCCGCTATAACTTTGGGCTGAAAGCATAATGATCTTTATTGGAAGGGAAGCTTTTTCGACAGTCTTGACAGCTGTGATATGAACTCTCAAAAGTTAAAGAATAGGGTTACTACAAGATACGAGGTCTCTTTCAGAAGTAAATTTCCCTGTTCTGTAAAATATACAAACTTCATTTTACAGACAATTAATTTTGAACATATCTACATAAACTTGTTGTCTGTTCCATTTAACAACAATTGTTCTCAGTGCACTTTTTTTTATCCTATGTAGACAGTAGTCAAATGCTCCTTAGCATAGCATTAATTTTGATTTGAGCACAATTTTTTCCTTCTCTTCAAATCGGCGTCCCCTTACACCTTTTTTATTTTGGGTAAAAAATGAAAGTCGCAGGTTGGACTATGAAACAAGCCAAACAACACTATGAAACTCTCTTCATTTAGAATATGAAGCAAGCCTAGGAGTTGAAGCGTGTTCCTGTGTTTCGTGAATCTAGATGTTTACAATACCAAAATTCTTTATGATTGTGTTTTATTATAGAAATTTCTGAAGACCATTTCTAGTCCTATACCCAAATCTCCCCCCTCCCCACCTCACGCTTTTTCTCCTCTAACTCCCAAAATAATTACATTACAAACAAACATGAATAAATGAATGAAGGAATCAATCAATCAATCAGTCAATCAATCAGTCAATCAATCAGTCAATCAATCAATCATCGAACAAACGAATGAATGGATGACTAAATGAATGAATGAATAAATGAATGATAGAATGAATGAATGAATGAATGAATGAATGAATGAATGAATGAATGAATGAATCTCTATCCCCTTCTTATTATTACCTCAGCCCCCCCCCCCCCCTTTTTTTCCCCACAATCCCCGTAAATCTCATCTGACATTAAGTACGACACACATTTGTCCAGTATGAAGAGTTCGAAAAGTTTGACGTAGCTGTGGGGTACACTTTTATTTTTGTTCCAGCGCCCCAAGCGGTGGGAACACACTGAGGTAACATTCAATGGGACAGCGTGTTCAATAATTCATGGCGCTAACTGCTGAAAGAGTCATTCCGTGGTGATGAACGACACCAGGAGACGACATAAAGTTGACGGTGACTTGGGAAAGGAGTTTGAGTTCTAAGAGGAGCTCGACGAACGATCATGTAATGCTTTAATTGCTATGGTGACATAAAGGTACAAGGGAAGAAGAGCCGGGGTAAGGTAAGCAGAGACCATCAGCCTACAGATGACCTGAACATATTTATGTTTCTCTGACGAACAATACAATTTGGGCACTACGGGACTGATTAGGAAGACTGGAAACAGGGGTAAGAATGGGGTATCATGATCACCAATATCTGCTCCAGACCTGATATTGAAGATGAAGAAAGCGCTTGAGGAAAAACAAGGCAGGCTTACAGTACAGAGACAGCACGGATAGTCAAGAAGTAGAATCATGAATGTATCAGAGGCTGTGCTCAACTACGCACATGATATGTGTACACTGAAGCAGAGAGGGAATAGTTTACGTGCGACTCAATAGAGCGTAGAAAAGAAAGGAAGAAGGTTGTAAAACAATAGTGCGTTTGTCAGTGTGGTCAAGTTTGAGGGCAAATCAAACGTTGTCACCATTACAACCAGGAGAACAGTGTGAAAAACAACGATCACCCCCC